TATCATCATCATTCAAAAGACATTCTAAAAATGTATAGAAAAATAGGAGATAGATACTAAAAGTTAATATTCTTAAAAATTCTAACTTAAATTCCAACTAAACTCTCTCTGGTTTAGTCCTAGGCCTACAAAGATTTAAGCCTTTATATATTATAACTCTTTTCTCTCGGTGCACTAATAATCGTTAGCTTCGGTTTAATCAAATAATTATTTACACACTCCTCGGCACTGGATAATCGCACGCATAAACCAGCCGGTGCCGAACTTTTTGACACTTTTATAAGGCACTTGCCCCATAGCCTGCCACATAAATTACTCAGCCGAAAAGGCTCCCGACTCAAATTAGTGGCAGCCATGCAGTATTTCAAAGATATGCCCCAACGGCATCGCAGCTGGAAATGATTTCTTAGCGGCATTTTTCTTCACAGATCCATTTGATGTGTTCCGATTCATTAGCGAATCGTTTTCGAGAGCATAAGAGTTTGTTAGTTACTTTATTATGATTGGTTATGGGTTGGTAATACCCACTTGGTATGGGTTTCATGGTTTTGATGCACTATTAATGGGTATATGAATCAAAAAGATACGAGATATAAAAAAGGGTATACATTTCCAAGAACTTTAAAGTTAGCAGTTAGAAAGGTCTGATTCACAGTAATTTATAGTTAATCCACATTATTTTATGTCTTATAATTTAATTTATTTAATATTTCTAGCCTCTGCTGTCCTGCGCTGCTGGCGTTGCTCCACGGACGTGTCCAATGGCGAGTTCTGCAATGATCCCTTCGAGCCAAGCACCATCTCGGAACAACAACGCTACTGGAGCTACGTGAACTGCACCTACTCCGTGGGTGTGAAGTCGGTAAATGCCCGTCCTGTCTGCAAGAAACTGGTGCAAGAAGGTGAGATACTCAAGCCAGAAAATATTCCCAAGAAACGCCCATTGAAAATATTCGGGAGACATGAATAATAGTGCACCCGTTGCATTTGCATTGTTGCCACAGCCGCGTGTGCGGTCTTTAAGTGCACTTGAAGAAAATAGTAGAAGCTATAATATGTAGAAATAAATATAGAGTATTTTAATAAAGGTTTAGAGTTCCTAAATATAGCTATAATATTTTAAAACCCTCATATAAGAAAGTATCAATTTCCTGCCACAATAAATTGCAGTGCAGCTCATCGGGGGCGGTAATGGGTGTGGTGGGGCAAGACCGCTAGATCGACAAGACTCACACCCGGCTGTGGCTGAGAGTCAAACAAGATTGAAATTTATTGCCCTGACAAAGTCCAAACAAGTGCAGGCGAAACAATACCAACAAGCACACTACGAAGCTGACAATTGCCAATGGAACCAGAGCAGCTGGTCTGGGGGCGTGGCAAGTGGACGGGCGTGGGGCAAGATCAATGCAGTAACAACAAGTGGCGACATTTTGGCCCGCAGAGCACTTGCAACTGCATGTGCCGCTAATTTACGGCAAATTTATGGCCAAAGAGAGTCAGTCTTAGCTACAGAGACAGAGACACGGGGCGTATGAGTGATATTTGGCGGTAGGTATCAGTGATCTTAAGTCTGATTTTTACTGGTTTATTGCTGGTTTTTATTGTTGTACTTTATTTGCATATACAACCACAACAAAATGAAAATTAAAATTGAGCTTTGTTTGGCCAATTTGCCAAGCGATCCGTGTCTCTGCATTTTGATCTAAATTCACTTTCCAGTGATTGTCGTTTGGTCACGACAACTGCATAAATTTATCAGCCGGCAGACGAGTCAGGCTTTTGTTTATTTTTTAGATGTAGGTCATGAATATCAGACAACAAAAAAAGAGGCAAAAAAATGAGGTAATTGTAGGTGAAAAAGTAGTATATGTAAGCTCTAGCTAAATTAAATTATAGGGGAAGCTAGGTTAAAAATATAATAATTATATGATACAAATTTCCTAAACAAAGTTTTAACTATAATGACTTTATTGATCTATAAATTAAAAATGTATTAATTAAACTTTTAAAATCTTCAAAAAGCAAACCACAACAGCAAGGATTTGTTTTTTTTTCAGTTTGTGGCAGCATTTAAGCAATTTTTTTGATGGCCAATTAATGAACACCATTAAATTTTTGCAATCAAGCGTCTACAAATTGGTTCGGCGAATATTTGCAAGATATACACTCGGACTTGTCTGGCTGGCAGTTGCCACAGTCCACTGTCCAAGTTGGCAATTAAAATTGCAATTGCAGACTCTCAAATGAATCGGAGACTCTATCTATATCTCTGGCTGGGTTTTTAAGTCCCCGAGCTACATGAGCAGCGCTTGTAATGCGCAAAATACATAATATACGAGCCGAGTTGTAGGAAAAAAAAATTCACAAAATACATATAAATTAATTAAGTTGTTGCACAGCGTGAAGCGCTCAATTACCGGCCATAAGAAGCTGCGGCAATCTGACGGGTCGGGGGGAGGGTGAATGCAACGCGGCAGCAGAATGTGTCTGAGAAAAATGCAACTAGGCGATGCAACTATGTAGTTGTTGCTGTTGTTGTTTATTATTGCCACTGCAACCTCTCAATTTATATGCCGTTAAATTAATTGCTTATGAAGCTTAGCCTAGACGAGTGGCAGGCCGGGTAGCTGTTTGGCAGACTTTTTCGAAAAATGTCAAATTAAAAATGTATTCCATAATTTTACCACCGGCTTAAAGCCAAAATATGAAGCCAAGCAATTAGCTGCCGCTTGTCGATTTTACTTGGCCAAATATTTTGCAACCTGTTGCTCTGTCCAAAAGGCCTCCCGAAAGTGGATTGCCGGCCTAAAGACCATTTTTGGCCAGCAATAAGCCCATTTTATGCACACACTTTTCTCTGGGGAGACGGCCTGACCAAAAGGGAGAGTTATAAAGTCACTTGGCTATAAAAGTTTCGGTTAACAAGTCACTGAACAGCAACATGATTTATTATAATTGGCAAGGATTCATAATTGCTGGAGTTTTTAGGAAAGTAATGGCAATTTTTTAAGGTATTTTGTGAGACAATTTTTATATTATTATATCTTATTTTATTTATAATAAAATCTCAGAGTATTAAAAACGTCAACCTAAACTATCTGATTTTATTGTAAATTTTATTTTCCATGTTCGCCTATAAATATATTTATTTTTTTTTGTGTTGTCTTTTGGCCGAAAAAACACACATAACGAGCCATAAATAATTAAATTAATTAAAATTTAAATTTATTGCTCTGTGTGTGCGGTATGAAACATCGAAGCGATGTTGCTGGCCTGTCTCTGTGGAATTTTTTCGTTTGTCGCGTTGCAGTGGCAGTGGCAGGAGCGGAGCACGCGGCGTATGCGCAATGCATTCTAAGCCATGTTTGATGCGACGGCCGTGATAAGGCGACAATTGTCAACAATTTTATTAGCCCGAACGTGTGCGTGTGAGCTGTGGTGCTCGGTACGCTTAGCTTTGCTGTCTGGGCCACACTGTCCACAGTCCATGCTGTCTGAGCCAATCACAAATATGGCCAGCACTGACCATTTCGAGCGGCTTTTAAAGTTTGATTTTGATTTTACTCCATTCCATTGGAAATGTTTCTTATTTTTTTGTTAGTAGTTTTGTCGTTGGTTTGTTTTGTTCTATTTTGTTGCAAAATTCAATACACGCAATTTGTAGGTTTTTTATTATTATTTCAGCTTTTTTTTTTATTTCTGCCATGAGATTTGCTCTTTCTGGTTTTCATTTTCTGTTTGATTGCAAATTGTCTCTAGTTTCTCGTCGAGTTTCATGTTCGTTTTGGCAAATCGTGTGCGTTTCGCAGACCAACTTGCAGGCCTCATTTTATAGCGAATTTTTTGCTGAACCCGAGTTTATATAATTTGTAATATGTTGGAGCCTTGAACGCAGTCCAGGCTTCAGAGAAGTCAAATCTAGGGGGTCTACTCGGATAACTTTCTTTGTGGGGAGCTATTTTTGCCTCAAAATTGGCGTCGAGTTTTAAAAACTTTAAGTCTCTTATTTTTATTAAAAGACTCTTATAAAAAATTGTGTATTTTCTGTAGAATTTGTAGAGTAATCCATCAACTAGATTTTTTAGTGTTTTTTCTTCTAATGAAAACCATGACCACATGTCTATTTTTGTTTTTTTGACTTGCGGCTATTTGAAATGTCATTTCTGAGATTTTTTCATGACCCATAGAAACGAGAACAAGTCAGGCTAAAGAGTAAAGCCCACGCCGGCACGTACATACACATAAATTAAATTTAATGTGCACTCAGCAGACTTTAATTACAATGGCTTAATGAAAATATTTAAACTCTTTTGCACTTTCAGTTTATGGCAAGCGGGTGGTGTCGCGTTCCTGCTTCTACGAGGACGTGGACGATCCGTCCGACAAGTGCGCCATGGACCAGACCTCGTCCTACATAAAGACAGTCTACTGCCGCACTTGCACCACCGACGGCTGCAACGGAGGTACTGGCTCCGCTCCCCTGGCGGCACTAATCCTGATACCCCTGCTCCTGGCTGGATTCCGGCAGATATGCAAATGAGCTACGGCATCCGTATACAGTCTTGGCCGGGGAATTGTCGGTGCTTAGAGCCGAACTTAACTGAATTTCTTCAACGAGTTTTTAGTCACTTTTGCCCTTCACCCGATTTCGCACAAAAATCACAAAAAAAACGTTCTCACATTCGTTGTCATCCAGGATCCCAGCATCATGTAAATGTTACTCGGCCACCCTCAATCGATGTAGTCACAACACCACACCACAAGGATCATTCAATCACTCAATCACACTTAACTTTGTTGTAATTTGTACGTCTTTGTAATATCTTTAATATTGTATTTGTAATTGAAACGCCTCAGCTCCTCTTGGGATGCTGTTCTTTACGTAAATAAATAATTCGTAAATATTTAAATGGTTTTTCATTTTTTTGGGGAGTAGTTACGATAAGTATTCAGGTGGAGCTACGGGTATAAGTATCCCTAGTTTAGCTATCTCAAAGGCTTTGATGTTTCTGCCATTCAGTCTATCGTTTTCTGTTTCCTTTCCCCCATAAACTGCAAATCCCACTCCAGTGCTGCTAAGGCCATGTCCACCTCCAGAGATAACCGGGAGGAGCCGCTGCCCTTGTGGAGCCGCCTGCTGGACCACAATGCGGATGGGCAGCACCGCAAGAAAGGCAGCGGCCAGTCGGACCACTACGAGGTGGAGATAGCCAACCGACTCTGGTCGCTGTGGGGGACACTTCGAGCGGTGGAACCGAGAGCGCCCCAACTGCAGGCCGAGCAAGTCTCGGTATCGGGACGGAGCTCCGACCTGCAGGCCGTGCATCCCACGGTACCGGGACGGATACTGGCCTGCTGCGTGATAGCCTGCTGTGCTGGTAGCTTTCTGGATCTGGACTCCTGGGATGCAAGGCTGCTGGACAGTATCATGGAGTGCGGGCAGGAGTACTACGATGCCAGCTTGGTTCTTCGCCAGCGCAGGGATCCAACGGGCGACTTGGCGCTGGAGACCCTGCACACGTCCTGTTGCCTGGAGGCCCAGCAATTTTGGGTGGACACTGAGAAACTGGTCTGCGGCAAGCTTTACAGCAGGACCAAGAGCCTAGGCTGGGCACTGAGTTTATTCTTTGGCCAACAGTTCCAGACGGGCATCCTGCAGGTGAAAGACCAGGCACTGGCCTTCGGCTTTATACCGGAATTCTCCGCCGGCGGGGCGTTCTTCATGTTCCATTGCCAGGCCAGTGGCAAGCCGCTCTTCAAAGACTCGGAGAGGGCACCGTATGTCCTGCGAATGCGCCAGTTGCAGCAACTACTCTACTGCATCCTCATAACTCTAGACGAGCGCCAGCGCAAGGTTCCCTTCCGGATCTACAAGGTCGCCTGTGTGCCAAAGACTTGACGTCGATGGGGGATTACAAAATTTTCCAAATACATAGTTTTCGGTCTATTCACTCTATTCACTGCAATGGAAGAATTCTAGAAAATTATGAAACAACCGTCACACTACTATACGTAATATTTTATTCTGGAAACTTCTGTTTTTTTTCAAAATACAAGTCATAATACTCTAATACTTTATTATACTTTTAAAAAAGTGAATATATTTAAATATTCACCCGGAAAACTTGTATCCTTTTAATGTTATTCTTTGAAGTTCTATAGTTAGCTATATAGTCACCGGGTTTATAGTCCCTGCCCCAATGTAAACTCACATTAAAAACACATTTTGTCAGACAAATCAAAAGTAATTGTCTCACATCAGTGAGCTTGACATTGCCTCCGACTGCGATGCATTTGATTTGAGGAATAAACTGCTGTTTCTTTGGCTCAGCCTTCTATTATACAATGTACTATAGTGTACTATATATGAACAGACTTATAAATCGGTTCAGTGACCGCCACACAAAGCGGAAATGAGTTCAGACCGACATTCAATTTGTGAGATTCTTTAATTGGCAACCACGCAATTTCTGAATCCCTCTGTGGTCTCTCGGGTGACTTTTGAACTCTTTTAATTAAACGTAGGACTTCCAAGGGATTCCCGATCAAAACTAAAAAATAAAAAGACAAATTGCTATTCAAGTTAGCTGGCAGGCTGGTAGTCCAGCAGCGTGATAATTCCATTATGCTTTAATTAAAATCGCATAAAACTAGCGGTGAATATAAATAAATTTTGTCACATGGCACAAAAAAGCGAAGGCTGTCATACGAAAAAAAAAAACCGAAAAATAAAATACAGAAAAACACCTACAAAATAAATAAAAATGTAATAAACTATAAAAATGGGTGGCCACTAGGTCTAAGCCACGAATAAAACGTTTTGGCCATTTAAACTTGTCGCACGGCTTTTATTTGTTTTGAATTTAGTTTCGTTTTTCTTTTTATTTTTAATCTTTTTTTTCTAACTATCTGGCTAGCTGGCTGGCTGGCTAGGCGAAAATGTCGTACAGAGTTTCCAATAAAACTGGCCATTTATCATGAGGCTGGTGGGGCCTGGAAAATATTGAGAATCGACAATCGAATCGAATGTTACGCATACGCCCCGGAGGGCAGCTGTTGGCTGTTCAAGCTGCTCATGCGCAGTCACCGATTCGAATTTCGAATTTAATTTTTCACTGCCCATGCTTTAACCCTCGACTGGCTATTTTTCATACTTTTTGTCAACTGTGGTTCGGTTTTTTTTTTTTTGTGGCCGGGGAGGAGCAAGTAACGCCACAGATTAGTGTCAAGATTTGCATACGAAATCATACATACTATATAGATAGACGCATATATCTGTCAGATGCGTGAGTTGCCAATTTGGTAAGAGTGTTGCCAAATTTGGCTAATTCCGTTGAGTTGCAAAGTTGCAATTGCCAAATGCCACTGCACTTTGCGTCCAGAGCTCATGAATCATTTGCCACCAAATGGTGCTGATATGAATCACTTACGCTTCGTTAAATCCAGATCCAGATATGTCAGTGCCAAATGAGGTGGAAATTATTAAGATAATTTAAATATAATTAATTAAAATATATAAATTAGGTTATATACTTTAATTGGGAGTTAATGGTGTTTATATTTTGTTTTATTGTCACTGCCCTTATTAAGTTTTAAAGATGCGCTGAAAAGTTGAAACTCATAAAACATTTAGCTAAGTTTTCAACCATTTTGCTTTGGTGTGACCATATTGGAAAGCTATAAGCTTTTGTAGAATTAGTACCGTTGCGTATTTAAAATGGGTAGTATAAGTTTAGTAGTAACATCTTTTTAAATTTATTTAAATTTTATAATAATTCATTTGAAAGTATTGCAAAATTAAGCCAAAATTTATAAAGAAAATGGAAAATGAAAATTTCAAGGTAAAAGTAAAAGGTTATATGAGTTTATTTATAGATATTATCGTACTTATTGTACCAGAATATTATTAAATTCTTTAAATTAGCCCCACGTTCTTTGTTGCTTATGAAATACATTTTTTATTGATTATTTTTGAAATGTTTATTATATGAAATTCAATAAACCCTATAGTAAAGATGGTGCATAGCCTATGTACATATATAATAATAGCATAAAATAAACCCAACAGTTTCATTGATAAACTATACAAAATATTACCAATCTAAAACTTCAATTAAGTTGCATTATACTCCCTCAAAGAAATTACCAAAAATAAAAAGAAATGCTAAAACTCTGAGTAAAAACAAAAGTCAATGTCTGGCCAACTGTCTGTCGCAGAGGCACAAAAAAAAAGGATACCATGAAATAAGGGTTTGGGGGATTCCCTAGGAGCGACGTCAACAACTGCGCTGCCTTTTGTGGCAGCAGCATCAGCAGCGCTGCGACTGAGGCCTTTCTGGCTTTCAGAACATTGGCTCTTGGGGCTTCGGCAAAATCCACAGTCGTTATTTGGCCGAGGAACCGTCTGCATCGCGCGCAGCTCTCGAAGCTTTCGATTTTTTGCAATAATTCGCACTACCCTCGAAGGATATACACAGCATAGATAATTTTTCAAAGGCGCCAGCTAGTCGCATTCCGCATCCCGAAAAGGATTTCGATATACATTCCAGAAAGAAGGAAGCCATGTCCGCCATGTCCATGAAAGCCCTTTTGGCCACAACATTCTTGCTGGCCAATGCCTGGACCATCACAGGTGAGAAATGTTTGCGTTTTTTCACCTCAAGTGTCGATCAGTTAATGAAAACACACACATTAGTTTAGTTGTAAACAGTGGCATTCGAAATTTGGTAAAAGTGGTTCATAATTGTGTGAATAAACAGAGAAAAATATTCTTAATAATTATATTTAAAATTTGTGCTCAGTGCACCTGTAATTCCATCTGCCCTCCAAGGTCAGAGATCCGCATAAAGTTCTCAAAACTTATGGTTTTTAAGCACAAAGCCCATGAATGAAATTTTTGTTTCCAATTTTCCGCACATTCTTGTTTATGTAGTTTTAGCTCGTGATTTTACGATTTTCCCTTGCGGTGTTTATTAAAATTCTTTCAAATAGTTTTCTTCGCCCATAAAGAAATGGCTTACAAAAATTAAAAATCAAAAAAATATATTTTCAGGTGAAATCTAATAAATTAACTTAACACATTCATGGCTTTTCGCGATTTGATTTAAGATTTATGTGCGACACTTTGCTTAGCATTCAAAATGATGGAGGTTCGTGCTGTTTTTATCTGTCATAAACAAATTAATATCGAATGGGGGCTATAATGAAATATTAATAGGGGTGATGTGGCCCAAAAATCGGGGAAGGTGTTTGGTTTGGCGTGAAAGGAAGAAAAACAAGCAAATTCCTTGAAATGATTTATGATACTATATAACATTTTTCAAAAGATTTATGCTTTGTAAAGTAATTTAATTAAGGTGGAAAAATTAAGAAAATATTCCATTTATCACAGCTCTCTTGGGAACACTTTTTCTGGTGCTCTTGGGGTCATTGCTTTTCAATATTTTGTTGATTTTCACGCTTTCCAGTGATTGGCAACCTGTACGCCTTATAAATACAAATATTCCTATCCATCTGCCAGACATTCCATTATTTATTTTCCCAGACATATCTGTGTTTCTCACTCGATTTCGCAATCCGAATGATGTACAATTTTGAATGCAGTTTGCACATTATTCATGCCCCGATTAGCGTTTTCAAATCGGTTGTAAAGACAAGAGCCATTGATGATTGTGATTGGGTCGTTAGGGGCTACCCTGTTGCTCTCAATTAACTTGGCTATATGTCCTGTAATTATCTAATTGCTTTGATTTTTTGTTGTCTTTTTGTTGTTTGTAAATCTGGATTTACGAGTAAACGACACTGCGCATGTCCAAGTGGCGCCAGGATGTCGTCTGCTCCAGTTTCCCGCTGTCTTTGCCATTTGACAGCCTCCGCCACCCCCCATCTGCGTCAGCCTCTGGAAACTATGTCAGAGTCTGGCCGTGGTCTTCTTCCTCGGGGGTTAGTTCTTCAGCCCTGTAACCCCCAGTCAATACAATGAGTTGCGTAATTTAACGAAACTGATAATGAGAAGCTTCCATTCCGGAAGCGGAGATTGTCCTGACACACATCCGATCCGTATCGTGTCATATTTTGTTATGGTTGCACTTTGTTTTTATGGGGGATGTTTAATTTGGTTACACTGTTTTGAATTTCTGTGCCTTCGGGGTTGTTTCAAACTACCAAACAAAAGTCAGGTTCAGGGGTGTGGAGTGCAACTTCCTTCAGACAAGTCTCAGCTTTCAATTACCAACCAAAAAAAAAAAGAAACAACTGAAAAGAAGCCAAACCAGGCCGAGGCATATGCGTGACCTCAGCGAATACTTCCAGAATGGCAAGCGGGGGCGACCCATGACAGACGACCTTGGAGTGAAGCTATAAACTACACTGAAAAATAAGTGTATGTTAGGGAAAATCGGTCTTAAACAAAGGATTTGAGTACGCCATGCACAAAGCTGTTAAGGAAATAGAAAGTAAAGGTTTAAAAAGGCCTTTAAAAGAACCCCATGTATATTCTTAGTCTTCATCTTCTTGCTACTTAATTGAAACTATTCCCATATTATTTAGTTAAAGAAATATTTAACAAATATTATTATAAAATTAAGTATTATTTAAAGTGTCTCTTTGCCAACAAGAAACCTTTTACCAACAAAATCCTGAATCGGTATAAGCCAATTACTTGAAATTCTTCCAAAACTATTTAAAGAAAACTCAAGAAAGCTGCTTAAGAGAATGATGAAAAATAGTCCTAGCTTGTTTATGTACATGTCCAGTTTAAAAAGGGTTAGAGCCTCTAAAACCCCCAACCTCCAACCACTAAAACCTCAGACACGCCAAGGCCGTGCCAATTGAAAGCCTTAGAACACGTATACGTAATATTCCCGGGTCTCTGGCTCCGATGTTATAATGTAATTTGCCAGAGAGGAGTTGGAAAAAGTAAAATATAAATGTTTTACAGTCAATATTTGACAGGACAGCACTCCTAGTTCCCTTACCTCTAGGACTGTGTGTCTTCAAGGTGCCGAAGTGACCCTTTGGTTTCTTGGTCCTTTGGCATGTTGGCGTTTTTCTCTTTTTGGTATTAAGCAAACAAGGCGAGTCCTAGCACTTTCGCCTGCCAGGACATGCAAATATATTCCAAGGACACAACACGATCTTGATTTACTGTCATGGCAAATCACGCCAACTTATCAACCCAATTAGGCAAAGTTTGCGGGGTAAACTACTGGTAATAAATTAGTTCTTTAATTCATTCACTAATTAGAGTTCTATTAATAGTTGGGAATCAGTTTGATACAAGAAATTTAATTATGGAGGTGTGAAAATTAAATGGGTGTGTGGTGAAAAAGACGCTTGAAAAACAAATTATAATGAAAAGGCAAATAAACAAATAAGCCAATATAATCTAATTAAAAAGGCTGGGAAAAATGTAGAAGAAAACACCATAGTCTTTTATTTAGTGAATCATTTTATAGATTTTTAGAAAAAATCAAACAATCTTTAAATAGAAAATGAAAGAAAGATCAATCAAATGATTAAACTCACTGACTTTATCAGGTGAGAATAAATGAGCCAACATTTTCAAAGAAATACATTGTTTTTCCGCCTGAGATGCTTAAGGAAGGAAATACAATATTTCTAAACAAAATTTGGTCAAACAAACCTAGCAGACGCTTTATAAGAGGAATTAAATAAAACCTTAATTTAAAATTATTTAATATGAGTAGAATATATTTTTCTTGCAAACACATTATTCCCGAATTCTTGTGCTAATGGCCGCACAAATTACTTACCATTTTAATCGCGTCTTCATGCTATACGCAATCCGTAATAAAATTTGTTTGTGGCGCCACCCTGACTGGCCAGGCGTCCCCCCCAAAAAAAAGGGGGCGGCACATGAAGTTCACAGATGACGATGATGTCAACTCCTGAACAATCCTTGGCAACGAAAACTTCCCAAAAAGAAAACTATGTCACTGATGTTATTTTTACTTTGCGAGCAAAAGTTTCATTGTCTGCTCTGGGTGACCCCGTGAAAGGTCATTTGAATCTTTTTTGTCTCAAAACTAATGGAGTGTTTTTAATTTTATTTTAGCATCTGGAAATGAGCAAAATAATCGTCATCATTTGCAATGCTGGCACTGCAGCTCTGACACTTATGGGGCCGAGGACTTCTGTGATGTGACCTTCCAGGAGGACAATATACCCAATGATTTGATCCGGGAGAGGAACATCAATTTGCTCAGAACCTGTAATAGCACTATTAATTCGGATCACGAGCGACCTGTGTGCCGGAAAACTGTAGAGGAGAGTAAGTCAAGTCCATACTTTATTTAATAGAAATTATTATAAAAAATGTTTATTATTTAAACTGTATTATAATTTTATTTATTTTTCAGATAATGGTAAAATAATAACCAAACGCTTCTGCTACTACACCAACAAGTCCGATGCCGTGGATCTCTGCAATGTCACCACTCCGGACAAAAATGTGCGTCGGATTTTCTGCCAGGATTGCCTAACCGATCGCTGCAATGGAGCCTATCCGGGAGTGTCCTTCATGGAGATTATACTCCTCCTACCCATTCTGGCCCTAGTCGTACAGTTGGCCAACTAAGGAGACTACCTTGGGCCAAAAAAACACACACACCTCTCTGCATTCTATTTAAGTTGGAACGTGATATTTTGCCTGGCCGCAAGTGCCCAGCTGTTGCTGATTAATTACTTAAGTTTAAATCGATTTAAATAAGTTTAGTTTCGGGGCTCTAGGTCTCCGCACTCATTTAGCCTAAATTCCGGATGATATTAAAGGTTTCTTTATAAGTTCTTTGTCAGTGTTTGCCAAGCTCAAAGCCCATAAATTCAAAAAAAACTTAAACTATACAAAACTTAAATAATCAATAGAGTTTAGAAGTCCAAAGTACAGTAAACACTCACTAAATAGCCTAATTGAATGTAAAGAACACTCGCATATGTAATTATCACAGTTGCTAGAAAAAAAACCCAACTCAAATCGAATAACTATATAGCACTTCTATAAAGAAACACACCGAATAAAGTATACACTACACATTTGACTTTTAAAGATATCCTAACAAATCGATGATGGCCTCTAGAAGTCCTTGTTTTGTGGGTGAATCGAGTCCTACATAGAACTCCTCCATTTGAAGACTCTGCCAGAGCTTGGCCATATACCTGCTGAAGTCCGGGCTGGTTTTTCCAAAAATTTTATAACGATTATAGATCATTAACTCTGTTTGGACCATACAATTGTAGGAGTCCCGATTACCGGCTATATAGAGCTGATAGCAAAACGAAGCCAGTTGACCTGCATTTTCCAGCTTATATAGTTTACGGATGACTTTCTCCATAATTTGTTTTAGTTTCTCCGGCTTAAAAAGATAATGAAGTCGCTGGGAATGTCTGCCGATGGCCAGTTGCCATTTTCCCACCTCATGGTCCTCCGCCTCCAGAGCTTGTTGGAAAATCTCAGTTGTATTCAGGACCTCGAGATGCTCACGGATGTTTTCGCGTATAAGATATCCTTGCAACTGCTGGCGTAGAGTGATATTCCTCTCCGGACGACACAAAACCCGCACCACCGCCCCATCCAGATCATCCATTTTGGACACATCATTCGGAAAATCAGCTTTCAACTTGCCCCAAGTTATGGCAGCCAGGGAGAGCTGCTCGGAAACGGTCCCATTCAGATTTTCGATCAGTTCCAGCATCTTTTTGGTGTCGTAAGTGGCCACTTGAGTCCCCAGAGCATCGATAACTTCCACAACGAACAGCGCCGAGATTAAAAATAACAATATTGTGTTCATTTTGACGACTAAAATGCAACTAAACTAGGTTCTAATTTAGATTATCATCTATTCGTGGCTTATCAGAGCTTTCGATTCAAAAGCAAAGTGCTTTCTTGATTACTCAAGCAATCTCATTCACAATTTTTTGTTGTTCGAAAAACCACAAGTTTCTATTTTAAAGTTGTAATATATTTCATCACGTTTTAAACTGGTTAAAATGTGGACCCTTTTATGGCGAAATCGCCATAAGTGGGTTAATAATGATCCGATAATCAAATGTTATACATTCCTGATCTTAGATCTTCGAGAAGCACAATTCTACATAAAAACCTGGCAAACTCAAATCTGACCCAATTTTCCCAAATGTTCAAAGGGGTAACATCATGATTTTGGCCAAAAATCTACCACATATTTTTCTTCCTTCCTTTTTCATAACATTTTAATGCAGATTTAAAGTAAATGGAACCCTGATTCGTGAAAATTACTATTGAAAATGGCAAAAATATTAGCTAAGAAGTGCCTAAAAAGTTTCAATTTTTTCCACTCAATAGTCTTAACTTGGTCAAATTATTATTTTAACATTTCAAAGTTCTATTTAAAATCACTGATCGCCGAACGTTGTATTATCGACAGTGATGTATTCATAAATTGTTATACTTTAATCTTTAATCTCGCTTTAAGTCTATTTAAGAAGAAAGTGTGTCACTTTCATAGACTCGTGCCCCCTGTAGTCACTGGTTTTATGTATTTAGTCTCACTAATCCGTAGTGACACTCGGATAGCCATAGAAGTGGAATCCAATTAGTCGACCTAGATACGAGGCAATGCAACCCTCACGGATGTCCTGCCATTGTCCTTGGTTGCTTGGCAGTCGTCCATTCATGAATCTGGCCCAGCTGGCAATTTCTAATTAAATGTATGCAAAATAGTGTCCTATCATCAAGATACGATCGTGCTCAATGAGATAAAAGAAATGGATTTATTTTTAGTTGCCTTCGTTGCACATTTTTGTGGCATACTTTTAGGAGGGCATGAGCCCCATATCTAGATAATAACTCACTCAATCTTTGGGAGCCAAATTCAAACAAGAGTTGCACATTTAAGCTTTTAATTATCGCCTTAAATCGTAAACTTAGAACTGTCACTGTTCTGGGTACTGGTGTAAATAACAATTTAGCAGGCACCTGTGAATGAATCTGCTCCTGAATCATCCCATTTGCTCCGAAGTGATCTTCCCTATTTTTCCGGTTTAAGTTTTTAGTTTTGTCTTAAATTCGTTGCAGCTTAAAAATAGCCCTATTGAATCAACCACTTGGATGTTTATATAAACAACGCTTGAACAACATTAGAACCGGTTTTCCACAGCAACATAAAAAAAAACAAAAACAGTTTTTCACTCAAAACAATAAGGCGCATTTCCCCCCAATTGATTGAGCAACTGTTGGAGTGGGGCAGCCCATTACAACTCACTTCGAGTCGCATTTGCCGAACGTTTCAGTTTCGATTTCTGTCAGAAGAAACAGACGTTCAGCAATCTTCGTTCGAGGCGGTTGGAACACGGTTGAAACAATTTAAAAAAAATATATATAAACAAGTGACCAAATATTCCAAAAGTGCTTATATAATGGTGTCCGCTCTGAAATGCAGTTTGGCCGTGGCCGTTATGATCAGTTTGGCCTGTTCGGGTGCGTTGCATTTGAAAGTGATTTGTTTTGGGCGTGGAAAGCGGGTTTTCGTTTATTGAATTTCAAGGACTTAAATAAAAAAGATGCAGTTTTGAAATCCTTGGGATTTTTTTTAACAGAAAACAGCATACACTAAATCAAAAATATAAGGAAATTGAGTTCTTAGAACTGCATTTTCAATGCAGTAATAAAACATTATCATTAAATCTATTTTTATAAATGGCTCGTTTTAATCTAAGATAAGAAAGGTGATGGTTAAGGTTGTATTTCTAGAGAATTTTTTTGTATAATGTACAATAAAAAGTAGGAGATTCAATTTATTACTAAAAGCAGAAGACTAAATAAACATAAAACAATGAATTATATTCTTAAAATTTTAGAAACATTGACTGTTTCTTTTAAAGAATTATTTTAATAATTATAATATTCCTTGATTTCCCCCTTAGCTTATGCCATCAAGTGCTACCAATGCGAATCGCTGACATCACCAAAATGTGGTCTCAAATTTGAGGCAGATGACAATCTTCTGATCGATTGCTCCCGGATTGGACCTCCCCGGTATCTGCAGAATTTCTTCTCCCGACAAAACGCCACTGGCTGCATAAAGAAGACCCTCGAGAGTGGTAAGTTTCTTTCTCTCTGTATAGTAATTCAAATCAAGACCCAACCCGTTTAAACCCGAAAGGTTAGGTCGTACCCCTGAGATCATCGTAGGAAATTTGTTTAGATCAGATAATCAGACTCTGATGTCATGCGTGACTTTTCTGTCATGATTTCTCCTCACGTTTCTTTCCGACTTGTTTATGTATTTTTTATGTGTAATTACATCAACCCTGAACCCTTAATCGGAGTCTTTTTTGAATAGTTATTAAGGCAATAGAGCTGTGACGTTTTTGTGGTTTGAAGCCCCACCTGTTTCTCACTCTCGTTTGCATTTTCGAATTTATTTGCATCTGAGCTTTGTAATTTATTGCAGCATTTCAATTGGGATAATTTTATTTATATATTTCGCAACGATGAGATCAGAGGAGCCACAAGGGGTTCAGCAAATTGGGATCAACATTTTTGCCACAATTAGGTGCAGTTGATTCATTAAAAAGCAAACATCCGACGCGAAAACAAACAATTAACACGTTACAATTGTCCCAGAGAACAATCGGTTCATTTGATGTTCAAATAGTGAAAGTTGTTTACCCGAAATATTAACCCGACTTTCATTTCAGTGACCGGACATCCCCAGATTGTGAGGACCTGCTATTTCGGGGACATCAACAATGTCCAGGCTGGCTGCCAGACGGATCCTTCCCTGCCCTTCGTCAAGCAACTGGGCTGTGATGTCTGCTCCAAGGATGAGTGCAACGGGTCTGCATCCCTGGCCCCCATTGCCGGCGCCATCCTGCTCTTCTTCGGCGTGGCCCGTCTCCTGGCATAGATCTTAAGATCCTAGCTCATAATTATCCTAATTTGTATTCCCCTCAGTAATTAAAAGACAGCCTTAATGAAAAGATCTTGTTTTTTGTAAATTCATAAAATTTATGTATTAATAAAAGAAGGATACAACCAAATCCTAGCAATATGCCAAAATAATGAATTTTTATATCACATGAACTACTACCAGAAGGTTTTTTACAGAAAACTTTACTTCATGAGTACGTTTTTCCCTTATCATTCGTAGTTTCAAAAATAAACATGTTTTGAATATTTACTCTATTTGTAAATGTGCCCAAGCCCTTAAAAATAATCTCACTTACCTACGTGAGTAAGCTTCCAGGTAGAAAAATAAGTCAATCATTAGTAGACCTTGTCGAATCGCAATTTTTACGGAGAACTCATTTCTCAAAGAGTCATCACATAAAGTACATATTTTTCAAACAGTTGCGGCTTTGTGACTCAGAACTCCCTTCTCAAACAACTCATTTATATATTTTTCATAAATTTTTGAATGAAACACCTGGATGGAATTCAATTAGTATGTGCACCCACATCGCCAACGAAAATTTGAGAGTTCAGACAAAAGGTCGGGATGCGGGAAGTGGGATTTATGTTTGTCTGCCACTTTAATCTCATTTAATTGGGTTCAATTTCATTTGCATCACAAGTTCCCAGTTCTACACGCTCTACCCTTCGGAAACGACTTTAAAAAGTGTTAACTGCAATAAACTGCTTAAGCAAAGTTCAAGAACCTGAGAAAAGAGCGTAGATCGGAAAGAACTTCCCCCAGATGCAGCATGTATGTATAATTTCTTGACAGCAGACTCCACCCCCGCCTGCCCAATTAACCCAAACTCATTTAGCATAATTTGAAAAATTACTTAATTGAAGAAAATAGAAATTTGTGGGAAAGCCACTTAAATGCGTCAGTGTTCATGTTCCAAATTAGGAAACAGAATACTTGTACAGAACAAAAAAAAAAGCCAATTTAAGAAAAGTAAATTAATAAGAGAGTTGAATACTGAGTGCATCCTAAATTATCAATTAAATTAATTGGCAATAGTCATTAAAAAAGTATTTTTAATTAACCAAAGCTTAAAAGAATATGTTTATGTATTTTAGAATAATTTTAAAGGCAAAGCGCTTCGGGTGTGTACTTTATATAGTATTGCTATAAAACAGCTTTCGTTAACAAATGACAATATCCAAGTCTTGTTAATTGCTGTGATTTGCACAATAATGAGAATTTTACTTTTGACTGAGTGAATATTCGAGTATTTTTGTGCAAAACTGCGCATTAGAATGAAAAAGTCAAAAATGGCAACCGGTTTTGCAAAAAAAAAATAAGTCACTGTGAATTCGAGAGACACCGCTGGAATTCTAATGGACACACAAGAAGTCCCATTCAATAATAATTACACAATACCCCGAAAATATAGAACATAACTCAAAGAGTTTGCGGCATTTTTTGGGCGTCTAAACAAAATAAAAATAAACAGAAAACACAAAACGTCTGACATCACCCAAACAAGTTGGCAAAAAAAAATTCTTGATATATTCATGCGTATATATCTGTATATACAATTTGTATGTCAAATGGTGGGACAAAACAAAAAAAAACATTATGCCAGCTTCTACAGAATTTTAAAAACACTATGCAAGCACGCAACGTATACGTAATATTTTCACTCAACGCCAGCGAATGAGGGGGCAACTTTGAGTGACTTTGTGAGTGAAACAATTGATGGGGGACCGGACGCTTCTCGACGCCAAGTAGTGGCCAACAGACGCTCGCCGACCGTCGTTCCGTCAAGGTCTGTTTTTTAATAATATTTCCCACACACAACCAACCGAAACCCAAAGAGTTTCTTTCGAATCTGGAAAAATGGTGTCAAGTGTAAAGCTTTTCCTGGGTCTTACCATTTTGGCCACTCTGGCCTGCACCGGTATGCCAACTTCCGGAGTTCTCCCGCCAAATTGATCTGCAGATCTTTGCTTCCACAGGCTATGCCATCAAGTGCTATCAGTGTGATTCCTTTACGACTCCCCAGTGCGGCGAGAAGTTCGAGGCTGACGAGAAATTGCTGTTCGATTGCTCCAGGATTGCCCCGCCGCGGTTTCTCCAGAGCTTCTTCCCCGTCCGCAATGCCACGGGATGCATGAGGAAGGTCATCGAGACGGGTGAGTGTTCGATCAAAATGACAACTGTGATCTCATCGTATTGATCGCCCCCGCTCTGAAGGCATCACATAGCCAATTGGCTTGATTAACTCTAATCACCGTTCAAGAGTAGTGATACATATACGATGTTTGGCCTTTGACATCTTATTTAACATTTAAAATGTTTCATTTTTATGTTTTTCTTAATCAGTTTTGAATTTCAATGAGTTAAAACGGTTTTTTGATAGGAAAATGCATAGCTTTGATTAGTTGATGTGACTTTGATGTAGATGCATATTATTTTCTAAAATTCCTATTCAAAGCCCCAACAATTTATGACCAATTTTCCTATTTTAATTTTCCTATCACGTATGAATGAATGAACAAAAAAATTGAACAGCAGAGCCCCTAATGCAGTGGACTTGTTAGAGACTAAAGTTTATTTTTAGAAATTTTCAAAATATTAAAGTCTCTATTGGAAGCTTTCCAGTTTGATATGCGGCATTTTTCTGTAGATTATAAAACCCCACAATGCAGAGAGGAAGTAAAACATCTATAGAAAGTAAACCGATAGTGGAAATACATTTCTTTCCCCATTCATGCTTTCTTTTGCTTCAATTATCAAGGTTTTTTAAGCTGACATTACTCATTTCGTTTTCCATGAAGGGCTAATGATAAGTACTGAACCCAGAGGAGATTAAAACCTATCCCACAGTATATAAAGGGGCCCATTATAAATTCATCGTCAGCCCAGCATATTAATATCAATGGTATTTGAGTTATTTGCTTGATATTTTCAGGCAATTTATTCGATTGCCCAGTAATTGCCATGCATAAATATTCTCCAGAGCCTTTTAATTCGTAGTTCTCGTTTGTTGTCTGAATAATTAATGCGGGTTCTGTTTTTTTCAAGTGTTTTTCATAGATTTCTCTTGGGGGATCCGCGTAGTATTTATGCTCAGTGACCGCGACATCACCTCCACCATTATTTGTTAATTGCATTAACATTCAAGCCACGCCTCAGTTCTCATTGCAAAATCATTTGAGGGCGGACAAAGGGAGTGACAGCTTCAATTAACTCACAGGCAAAAAAAAAAAAGAAAACAATTAATTAGTCACAGCTATTCATAGGACTGTTCTAGATCTTAATCACTTAAGTGAAGAATAAAAGTGTTTTTTTTAATAGTGGGTAGGTAGTTAAAGGGTAGGTAGTAGGTAGTTCCCATTTTCTCAGTTGATGTTCTCCTTTTACGATTTTTTTATATTATTAGTCTTTAAAGTATTATACTCTTAAGAAAGGGAGGCTATATTATTAGCAGAGGCTATATATTTAATATTCGTAGAAGTGGGTGATACTTCAGTGAATGGTGACTCAGGCCACTATTTTTTCCAATTTTTAAAATGAATAACTTAAAAAATTTGCGAAAAATCTATATAAAGTATTATGGTTGAATATTTTATATGCTAATAATAGAAAATGTGTCTCGAAACCATTAAGAGTACATCCCGTTTCTTAGAGTCTATTATTTTCTTAGCACTGGCATTTTCACTAATTTTAAAGGGGATCTACCGGAAAAATCCGAGCTGTTTTACTCATCAAAATCGGATTGTTGCGGTTGAGAGTTTTAATTGTTTTTTGAGTAATGAAATACAACCAAAACGATTAGGAAAACTGTAGACTACTAAATGGAAAATTTTAAGCTATAAATAAAACGAGTATCTGGAATTTACAACAATTAATTTTCTTGAAAGCACGTACAAAGTCAAAAATAGAAAAAAAAAAAATATATGTACATCAAAAGTATTTAACGGATTAAGCTAAAAATATAAAGAAACTGAAACTTGAAATTGTTTAAATTCCTAATTGTACACCTGTTATATCTTTAAGATTTAAAATATCTAATTTCTTATACTTTCTCCAATAGGAATCGGCAAGAACCAGGTGGTGAGGAGCTGCTACTTTGGAGATATTAGCAACACACAGGTTGGCTGCCAGGCCGATCCTTCCTTGCCATTCGCCAAGCAGCTTAGCTGCGAAGCCTGCCCCAAGGACGAGTGCAACGGATCTGCATCCATTGCTCCCATCGCCGGCGCTATCCTGCTCTTCTTCGGTGTGGCCCGAATCCTGGCCTAAAGATGAATTGTGGTCGAGTAACCCATCTACCCCATCCATATCTTAGATGTTGTGAGCATGCTACGATAAGAATCCCCTTAAGGATACGCTTAAATCACTTTTTGAATCTCTGTTAATTGTTATACACCTTTCGCTTCAGCAATAAATATGTGAATTTCAGTTTTTTCTATCACCCAAATGATGATTTATATATGAACTTCCTACAAACTTTCGCAAAGACAAACAAATGATTGCAAACTGAATCATTAGGCTTATTATTCATAGGCTTGTGGTTTAAGGAAATTACATTTTTAGGAATGTTTGAAATGATTGTAGTTTTAATCCAGTAGCCAAGCTAGTAAGATCTATTTAAAAAAATATTCCTTTTTGTTAAAAAACACAAAGCTTAAAAAAATTCGAATTAAAAATGTTTCCAATTGTAAAAATAATCCTGACGGTCGGCATTTTAGCCACTTTTGTCTGCCCTGGTAAGGGACCTTCGGCACAAATCATTCGTTTAAATACGCAGATATTTCGTTTTTTAGGATATTCTATTAAGTGCTACCATTGCACTTCCGTAGTGAATCCCAAGTCTTGTGGAATGAACTTCCTATTTGCCAATCAGTCACTTTATGACTGCCCGGAAGCTAATGGTCATCGTCGTGCAGTGGGTTGCTCCAAATCTTACAATTCTAGTTAGTATAATTAAAATTTAAGCTCTTTTGGATAATATAAATAATTATTTGTTTTTAGCAATTGTCATTAGAGAATGTTTTTATGGAAATAAGCTGAATGCAACAGCTGAGTGTAATAAGTCTCTATATTCAAAGAATTGCACAGTTTGCTTCAAGGATGGATGCAACAAATCGCCATCAATGGCTCCTGTGGCAGGCGCCATTCTTTTAATGTTGGGTGTGGCACGAGTCTTAGCCTAGAAAAATACTATCCTTGAAGTGTACCACTTCTAAACATCGACAATATAAGAAAAAATATTTACTATAGTATATACGTAAATGATATGTTTTTGCAAAATGATTAGTGTTTTTTTTCAATAAACAAAATCCCTTTTTTTAATTTCTATTAGTTTTTTAGGAGAAGTGACTTTTGTAAAAATTCTAAAAATTACTAATTTTGTTATCTAAACACTTGTAAGTATTAAAATCTTGTGGGATTACCCACCATTCTGCATCAAAATCCTGAGACCGAATATTTTTTAGATTTTTTGTCTATTTTTCCTGATGGGATCCCTTGAAAATGGTGTTTTCCCCTATAGGGTCCACAGTGATAGCCATATCTTCCCCAATTCTCATCCGATTCTCAAGCGGGGTACCTTAAACGATTTCTGGGTCGATTCTCCACCATTCTGCATCAAAATCCTTAGACAAAATATTTTTTAGATTTTTTGTCCATTTTTCTGATGGGATCCCTTGAAAATGGGGTTTTTCCCTATAGGGTCCACAGTGATAGCCATATCTTCCCCAATTCTCATCCGATTCTCAAGCGGGGTACCTTAAACGATTTCTAGATTGATTTTCCACCATTCTGCATCAAAATCCTGAGACCGAATATTTTTTAGATTTTTTGTCTATTTTTCCTGATGGGATCCCTTGAAAATGGGGTTTTCTCCTATATGGCCCACTGTGATGGCTATATCTTTCCCAATTCTCATCCTATTCTCAAGCGGGGTACCTTAAACGATTTCTAGATCGATTCTCCATCATTCTGCATCAAAATCTTGAGACGAAATATTTTTTCGATTTTTTGTCTATTTTTTCTGATGGGATCCCTTAAAAATGGGGTTTTCTCCTATATGGCCCACTGTGATGGCTATATCTTTCTCAATTCTCATCCGATTCTCAAGCGGAGTACCTTAAACGATTTCTGAATTGATTCGCCACCATTCTGCATCAAAATCCTGAGACAAAATATTTTTTAGATTTTTTGTCCATTTTTCGTGAGGTGATCCCTTGAAAATGGGGTTTTTCCCTATAGGGTCCACAGTGATAGCCATATCTTCCCCAATTCTCATCCGATTCTCAAGCGGGGTACCTTAAACGATTTCTAGATCGATTCTCCACCATTCTGCATCAAAATCCTGAGACCAAACATTTTTTCGATTTTTTCTCCATTTTTCCTGATGGGATCCCTTTAAAATGGGGTTTTTTCTTATGCGGCCCACTGTGATAGCCATATCTTCTCAAATTCTCATCCGATTCTCAAGCGGATTACCTTAAACGATTTCTGGATCAATTCTCCACTATTCTGCATCAAAACAGGTATTAGTAACCGCAATAAATACAAGGCTTGTGTTATTTTTGATTGCCCAATGAATTTCAATTTCCGAGTATTAATGTAATTAATTGCTGCTTTTTTAGACGCACCCTATTTAATTGATTTTCAAGTAATGGAATAAGGAACAAATAGGAAGAACTTGCGTGCCTGGGCACACTTCCAATCATATCAACGGAAACAATATCTTTCTCTTTGCTTTCTTCCGAAAGAGACGGATTTATTTTGGAATTTTCTCTTGCCAGACGGTACCAAAATACTTCGAATATGTGAACAGTTTTCTCTGTGATTTTCCTCAGTTTACACTCCCACTTTTGACACATTTCCCACCCACCCCACTCCCCCCATGGGTGCTATAAATTCGCTCAAGTGAGCGGCGCACGCCCCCCAAAAAAAAGTGGGAAAATCTAAAAGAAAAGGGAAACACAAAATGTTCATTAAAATTAGACAAATTAAAACAGGCGAAGCGATGACGCCAGGCAAAATGGCCATAAAGTTTTTCCCGCACCACACACACAAAAAATAAAAATAAAAGAGAGCCAGCGTTGAAGAGCAACGAGACATGGTGGCAAGGAGTTGAATTTGGAAATTCTTTTAGTTCGATTTCGTTGTCGGCCGTCGAAACACTGGCGGATTCTAAAAATTTACCCGGGAAAACTGAAAAATCTTTAGCATCCTAAAAACTCAAAAAAGAAACACAGAAGACGAGTGTTTACTTTTCGTTACCTATTCAAACCAAATCAGTTTCAATCATTTTCCCAGTAATAAACACACGTATCATTTATATGAAAAAAATTTATACATATATTTAAATCTGTGTACGTCAGACGAAATATTATATATTTATAAAATCGGTGCGGATGGATCGTTTCAAGTGCGCTGTTTGAGTGTAGAGTGAGCAGAGTTATATATAAGCTTTATTTATTCAAAAAACCTTCCAATAAAATATCAACCTGCAAGTGGAAAAACACTATTTTTCTCTCTGCAACAATGCAGCAATATTTACTTTGGTTTGGCGCTCTCATCTCACTGTCGGCCTCAGGTTTGTATTTTCTCTGTTTTGCTTTAGATTTCCATTAGAATTTTTCGTTCAATTTGTTTTTGGATTTTGAATATTTGTATTTTTGTATTTTGTGTTTGCCAAGTGGTGAATAATGCCATTAGAGAGGCTGTCCTCTGTCTGATTTCATTTTTGTCATAAATAATACAAATCTCTGATCTTTTGGGCATTTTTCAATGCCATGTAGCATACGCCATTAAATGTTATGCCTGCGAGTCTGTCTACGAGGAGAGTTGTGGCGAGGACTTTGAAGTCGAGACCCATTTCAAATACGATTGCTCCTTCATTGCCCCGCCGAGGTTCTTGGAGAGTGATCTGCTCAGCGTAAATGCCACGGCCTGCTTAAAACGTGTCTTCAAAGGTAAGATTTTGTTAAAATTAATTACTAGGATAATTCATACATTAAATATTTAAAAAGCAAAAGTATTTACGCTTCATACGATCTGAATAAGTTGACGGTTTAGTATTTAAAAAATATCATTTATTTACAAAAGCTATTTATATGTCACTCAAGCTAAGCCATTACATATTGTTTCTCGTAGTATTTGTTTGAAAAACTAGCAGACTTTGCTGAATGATTTATGATCTTTTTATTGATAGTGAGTGAAAATTAAATTTAAAAAAAAATAATTTTAAAACAGCTGCCGCATTTGCTTAAATACCTCAAGCTTAATGAGTTTAAGGAGCAAAACGAGTAATATATACACTTAAAATGATCGATTATAGAATTCAATGCTAAGAAATGTGAATTATTATTAAAGAAAGTATAGAATATAGAAATCCATCCCAAGAATTGTGACGCAAATCATTAGAAAAATAAATTAAAAAGTATATTTTTTTGCATATAAAAACAGCTGTGACCTTATTTTTAAAATTGTCATAGACTTTCCGGTAATCTTGTCGAGTATCGTTGATATCTTTTTAATGTTTCGGGTTAGAGCCATACATATAAAAATCATAAAAACTTAAATTGCTAAGATTCTTGTATTTATTGGGAGTGTGCCTGAAAGTAGACTAACAAAATATTTGATTTCCTTAGAAAATGGCGTTCGGAAAATCGTTCGAGGATGCTTCTTTGGCGAGGTGAACGCCACCGATGTGGGATGCAAAATGGATCCCACCCTGACAGCGGTGCAGAATGTCAGTTGTCATGTGTGCGACAATGAAAATTTTTGCAACGGAGCCGAGGCAGTCATCGGCTGGAATGGACTGGATAAATGGAAATTGTTCTCGAGTCTAGTCTTGTTTCTTTTGGCAGCGCAAGTGCCGTGAAATATCTTTCGGAAGTCACTGGCCGTAATGAGGCATCAATGGAAAAAACAATGAAAAAACAAACAACAGACATGAAACGTTAGTAAACATAGTTCAATTTAAGCAGCACCTCACAATCCTCACGTAGAAAACCTCAAGTAGACAAGCTAGCTAGGATTATAGCCCACTGTGTTAATGGCCAATTAATGGCGAACACAGGGCGTATGAGTAACATTAGCAGACACAAGCCGAAAAGCTGGCAAACAAATATCGAGCGATCCAAATACAAAACTAATAAAAACTAATTTTACACAGAATGCCAAAATTGTTTATTTGTTCGAAAATGCCACTAATGAACTTTTGTCTGTTTGCCGTCGTTGAAATAAATGATGGCTCCCGGCTATTTATCCTATAGATGTGTGGGATATCGTTATGGGGAAGGGCGATTCTGGCAACCTGGCTATATCTTCGGAATGACACCACCCATCGTATCGGCCTCCTCCTCGCTAGCCGCAATGTCAACACCGCAGGAAAATATATATGCGAACGAAGGAGAAGTCAAAATCTGCCATGGAAATCACACTGTAAATGCGATTGTTCGGGCGGGCGAGCGCCCAGTTCATTTCAATTCAGTTCAGTTTAGTCTCGTGTGTGCAACGCTACGAGTCGGTGGCGGTTCGGTTGGCTATTCAGTGGCTATATAGTGGGTCTATCATGTGATTGTGATCGGAGCAGATCGGCAGCTGAGTAGAAAACATCTGTAGTCGCCATATAGCTATAGCTATTGAATCACCGCGACCAGCGGACAGTGGGATCAACTGTTTTCGGGGGCGGTACGATGGAGACGATGGCGTTGCGTGCGTTTCTCCATCTCTTTCTGGTCGTCACGCTGGCCAGCGCAGGTAAGCTCGCCGACCTACCGCCCGTTCGCATCTTTAAACTTTAAAAAAAAACAACAGACGAAATAAAATAATGTATTCAACAAAAAACACACAAAAGAATCGCTAATCTTTGCGGAAAAAACCGTCACGTATGATGGTTCGGTTCGGTTTTGTAAAAAACATATATTCGTTGAAAATAAAATGTTTAATTTTGAATAAAACATATATAGTCATCTGAAAAACACCAGATTATAGCTTAATTACAAATAAAAATAAACAACAAATTCCAGTGGCTAGTTCTTAAATCAAACACTAATATAAACAACGAGTATAAACAGTGAAAAGAATTTTTTCTCCAAAAAAAACTGATAACCCAGCAAACTTTTACGTTTTTTTTTGTTTTTTGCTTAAAAGAAGAAACAATATAAACAAGAGATAAAAGCTCTATATTTCTGTGTTATTGTTGTCTTATGAGAAACAGTGACTGGTTCGCAGACAAAAAACTGATGGTAATTTTCTGTGTGTTTTTTTGCGTGTGCCCTCGTTGACACACATATCTACGCATGTCGTCATCAGCTCGGGCCATTACCTGCTACGAATGCGATTCCGTCAATAATCCAGGGTGTGGGGAGAATTTCGCGGGCGATGACATAGCCACGTCGGATTGCGAGGCGGTGGCGGACATGCGAGCGCCCGGAATGGAGTCCTCGTGTTTGACCAAGTATTACGGCGGAAGTGAGTATATCCTAGGGACCATCGACCGTAAAATATATATATCACCTCTGCCAGCAGTGCCCGGAGAAATGTTGTTTATGAGACGTTCCTGTTACTTTGATGAATCCTCGCCCGTGGAAGTCAATTGCGATGAGACTCCAGATCCCGTAGTGCCCTATCTGAACTTCCTAGGATGCAAGGTCTGCAACACGGATCTGTGCAATGCGGCAGGCAAAGGGGCTACCCTTTCTATAGTAGCCATGATTTTCGTGTTTGGAATGCTTTTTTCAAACTATAATTATTGAAGAGCATCCTTTGTATTCTACCATCTAATATTATTATACTCGAAACCCGTATCCTAATTGGAAAAGCACGTCAAGTCCATGTATCCTAAAACAAAAATGTTATAACAGCATTGAGATATTTTTATAATTTTTTATTTTATTTGATCTTGTTTCCATTGATTTTTATACATCCACTAAAATGATTTAACATACATATATCTTTATATAATATAATTATTCTTGTTTGATTTAATATAATTTATTATCGAATAAAATTTACTCGTCTCCTACATAATCGGCGTGTGTGTTTACGTGTACGTGTACGTATGTATTGTAATCAGGATTTATGTATTACAAAATATATGCATAAATTAAATAAAAATAACATCTCAAAATCGACACACGCTCGCTGTTTCAATTAAAAAATACACATAGTGGTTTTGCAAAGTCAAATATATGGACATACGATTCCAGTTTTATGTATAAATTATTGTATGTGGGTAGGTAAGTAGATATAACATCGTCTACCGTTTAACTGCTGCATTAATAACATTCAAATATAAATATATGGATACTTGTCAAGATATTTCATATTTAAACTACACATTGAGAACAATTCAGATAGAAAACAATTTATGTACAAAAGAGTTAAGTTCTCTTACAAATTTTTTGTTTTGTTTGCTTTACCAAATACTGTCCATGTTAGCAGTGTCCCAAAAGGGTCTCCAAGAGCCTTTTCAAAGGGGGACAGCTGCCGAGTCAATGCCACAAACAATCCTCTCCAAGCACTCCCCGTCTTAAGCTCTATCAACAATTTATATAATCAATCGGCTTATAAGAATTAGTCAACCAAATAGAGTAAAAATTATGAATTTATTACAATTCGCACTCGGAAACAAATAACAAACAGATTTGCTTTTTTTCGCATATTTTCACTTTGCTTTCGCATTGAATGGATCAACTTGTTCAACTATTTTTAGTTGTGGTATATAATGTAGAGTTCGGTTATTTCATATGCCGTACTATATAATGTGTACATATACTTTGAATCATAGTAACAACAACACAGAGAGTTTGTTTAAAACCTAAAACTATTCATATATTATTATATTTCGTTATTTTGCCGCCACAGATTGCACCTCATCTTAAATTTCTTCTCATTTTTTGGCAGGGAAAGAGGACTTGAGGGACTGGGGTGGGATTTGTGGAGTACCAGCTCCGCAATTGTAGTGGAGTGTTGTCTGTCGCTTCCTGCAATCTGTGGCTGCCCACGTCTGTCTCCTCAGTGTTCGTTGTGGTTGTTCTGCCATTAAATTGTAACAATTCGCTTGAGTAGTGCAAAGATCAATAAACCATCAGAATCTGCAGTCACTCAACGGCAAATAATAATAGAGATGAAGTACATTCGAGAGGAAACACACCATGTTCGTTGTGTTAAACATAAAAATTGACTAGAAATATGTGCAAAAATTTTGTTTTGTGCGCAAAAAGTCTAAAGAGGTGAGCAAAGAATTTCGTTGGTACTGAAATTGGAATGGAATCTTAAAATAATTATTGATTGTTCTCGTTTGTGTGTGCTTATGTACACTTGTTTAGCCTTCAACTTGTAATAATTTCTTTCGCTTTTTTTCGGTTTGAGATCAATTCCACATGAATGAATACTCTCTTGCCTTCTTCTATAAATATTTGCTCATAATGCACTTTGAAATGACTGCAAATGGTGTTGGTTTTCGGGGCATTAGCCCTACAATACAATTATGAATTAATTTTGGGTTATTTAGCTACACAGTAATGATGTAGTATCTGAGCATATCATTGTCGGCAGCAACACTAATCGAAAGATGTTTGGTTATGCTTTAACTATAGGTATATTTTTGATGTTTTTTTTTTTTTTGCGACCAATGGGAGACAATTTTCAAAAACATTCGGTTTCCAATGAAATTTACAAGTTACACTCTCTATACACATAGCAATAATAATATTAATAACATATTAATAACGAATTCAGTCAAGTCAGTAAATTTGGTTTGCAGAAAGAAAAAATACATACATATTTATAAACTAAATGAATTATTAACTCTAATAAACAAAAATCAATCGCAGCCAAGGGTTTCTCTTCTTATTTTTCTGCGTTCGGCTTTAAGGAATAGTTTTTTTTTTTCAATTTTGTTTCTTTGCTGCGATACATGGCTATAGAATACGATTTACATTTAGATATACACTTTATATTAATTCATTATGTATATATGTAGTTGTATAGATATTATGTATATATAATATATATGTAAAGGGGTTATAACAACTAGTGTATTGTAATTTCAAAGCTTTGCGTTTTGAAACATTAACTCACAGAGTATTTCCATTATATAATATATAATTTGTTTTAGTTTTGTTTGCTTTTTAGTTGTTTAGTTGTTATTCATCATAAACATTTAACATTAACACGACGACGGCGGCGATAGCTGCTGATGCGTGGCCACTTTCGATACATATTTATAAATAATTGTTTTATAAATGTTTACACATTTAATCATCCGGTTATCATCAGTATCAGCATCCGCCAATAGCTGCGGAAGCGAAAGCAATCTGATGGGTAGTATTGAGTGGGTTGAAGGAAACGCGGGGGGAGGTCGAGCAGGTTGACTGAGCACTTGATCATCGGCGGGCAATATCGGTCAGACTGAAGTAGCATGAACGGGGTTAGGGGGGGTTTTAGATGCCAACAAAGCCGTAGACCTCCAGCACCCGGATCTCAAAGTCGCCCGACGGACAAAGCGGCGGATTGTTAAAAGTCTTGCAGCTGTCCGTCTTGCCAAATCTTATATTCTCATCCATCCAGATGGCCTGACCCTCACTAAAAATAAACCATAAATTAGATAATTTTGAGGACAATTCAGAGAACCACAAACATACCCTCCACCAATGGTGATCATCTTGGAATCGGCCGCCATAAACAGCTCGGAACTGTGACCCAGATCCTTGTCGCCCTCGATTCCCACCCAGGGGTACTTGGCTCGCTCGGGATACAGGGAGAACAAGAAGGTTTCGCCGGTGCCAAAGTAGGCCTGTCGCTGGCCCTTGTCATCTTTAACATTTCTTTCGAACCAGCGGGAAGAGCAATAGGCGCCAAATACCTGAAAAATATCCAAAATTGTTTATTATTTTTGGATGGATTTCCAAAATTTGATTAATTACCTCATTATTGCACGTCTTGATCATGAGCAGCGTGGGCTCGTGCTGCTCCACCCGGACGTAGAAGGTGGTCAGTGAGCAGCCGTGCTCCTCGGTAGTGTAGAGCAGCACCGGTTGGTACATTGTTATCCTCACGGGCAGCCAGGACCACAGCGTGAATAGCTATGCGGGCAAACAAACAAAATAATTGTTAGAAAATCCATAAAAAAAACTTAAAATTAATAATTTAAATAAACTACAACTACGAGTAACGTTTGAAATAGGGTAGCAATTAGCCAATGACAAAACAAAATACTTGGGCGCGGGTAAAATAAAGTGAAAGAACATGAACTAAAAGGTCAAAAGTCAACGGAAAACAACTAAAAGCCAAGGGTTAGGTATCAAGATAACAAAAAATATATTAACATTAACGAGAAAACGTTAAATCTTGATTTAAAAACTAAAAACTACGGAATATTAATTAACTACAGCGAAGTACGCTTCAAACTGTAAGCAGCAGCAGCAGCATCATCGGCGGCGGCAGCGGCAGCGGCAGAGCAGCAGCAGCTTGTCCAACTGTAGCTTGGCTCTCAAACTGTAAGCTCTTCTGTGATTTCAATTTCGGGTTTTATTTTTGAAAGTTTTTCCAATTATCGGATGAACTATGTGGGGATCATCTACCAACATTCAAGGACGGCAGGACAAGGACACTTTACATAGACAATAGACTTTCCCAAAATAGTTTTCTAAGACATGGCGTGGCATGGTAGTTTATGGATGGGTTTTCTGGGAGGAATTGCATTCAACATGGAAGTATATATAGTATGATATATATATAGGGGGATAATGGACAAGTTGGAGAGATTGGAGGGTCTTCAAAATGCAATGCAATGCTTACAAATTGTCTATCCGTCCAGGTTTTTATGAAATTCTTTGTGCCCGGCAAACCAAAATGCTATGAAAAGATATAGATGGAGATATAGCAAAAAATTATATGCAATATGGCGGATGAAGAACTGGGGGGACTCTTATGAAAACGACACAGTTCCTTTCACAGTTTCACCTATTCTTCCTATTAACCTAAAGTAACTAAACTATAAAAAATAAACATAATAATCAAACCATGAGGCAATAAACACAAAAAATCAACTAATTGATATTAGACTGAAGGCGATTATATCCGGCAATCCATGCAGTTTTTATGACTTGATGGAATGTGGAATCATAACGTGTAAGGAGCTATAAGCTTCGATAGATATACGGGTAATAGATATATGTATAAATAGCAGGATTAAAAGTGTGTTTCTCGGTGGAGGATTGGTTTGTTTGATTGACATTTCAGAGTGGATTGGAGTTGGACACTTGGAGTTGGCTTTCACTTACATCTTCGTTCGTACAAACTTGACTTTTCAGATTGTGTATGGGATAGACACCCATCGCGATGGCTCTATGACCCGGCGACTTTTCGCCCTATACATATAATCGTGGATGATGGAATGATGGAACATAATTATAATAGTATGCACACCACCCCAAATGTGGACAAAATAAACCCATCAATATCGAAAGAATATATATATATATATATGTAGATGTATACATTGATCAAGCGTTTTGCAAATTTTTAGATTATTCGCAAATATTTTTGGTTGGTATTTGTTAATATTCATTCATTCGTTGCCAAGGCAGCAAAAAAAGTACAAGAAAAATAGAAAAACAATTTTTATATTTATTTATAGAGAGAGATTTCTTGTAAGGAGCAATTAAACTTGAGGATTTCTTGTTTGTTTGTTTGTTTATGTAATTTTGTTTGTGAGTATTTCGCTTTGCAATAATAATTATGCATTTTAGAAAACGAATCAACGAAAAGCAAACCAATAATCGAACAAATATAAGAAGCTGTATTGTGTTGGTTATTATAGATGTGGTTACTGTTGAGGCTATGCTTTTGCTTTAATGGATTAGATTATTCGGCGAAAATTAACAACAACATAAAATTCCAATAAAAGCAGATATAAATGAAAATATTTGAGTCGAAATTGCTGGAATGGATTGCACGCGAAAGTTATATACAAATGCGAGTCCTCTTCTCATGCGGCACATTCAAGCAATTGCAGTTGAACAACTCGACTCGAACGGAAAACAGTTTCAACTCATTCATAAAACTCATAATAAAACAAGCAGAATCAATCGTCAAACATTATCAGCATTATCAGTACTTGTTTCATTAATAATAATTTTTTGTAAAAGATTTTTTTAGCCTCATACCAAATTGCGACAGCTCTCGGAGTGCAGCTTCTGTTTATTGTTTTTGTTTATTGTTTGGTGGACAGAATTGAAGAGATATATTCGATAAGGAACATAAACGGATAAACGAATGAAAATAAATCAGAGAGTATACCATTAGAGAGTGTGTTGCAAAAGTGCTGTGTATTAAGTATATTGGGGTATCATTACTAACTGAAAAGGTGCCTAGCTCGGTTTCTCTGTTTGTATTTCGTTTTCTGAATTCTGTGTGATGGTGGACTGGGGCTGGGGCTGAGGCTGGGGAAAGTGTCGATTGGATAATCGGGTAAATCCTACATACCTCGCGGATGGTCAAGGTGTGCGACATCATTTGGATGTTCACCTGCGACTGACTAGTGGGCAGATTATCACTTGAACGCGATTTGATTAATTGCTTCGAACCGCTGTTGAGCACGGAACGGCTTTTTAATAGCATTTCAGTCTTGATAAATATTCTAGAAATATACTGGGTACTGCAATATAAATAGATAAGTGATTAATTATTTAAAATAGTTTTGTAAATTTAATTATAATTACCTGAGTCCCCTAATACTAAAAGCGGCATGGAGCAGCTTCGCCGGTGACACTGGTATCTTCTTGCAGAACTTGATCAGCGCATTGCCAATGTCGTTTTTAATATTATCCGGACTCCATTCGTTGTTCGACTGGCACTCCTTGTGAAACAGATTGAGTATGACGAGTGCCACACGGTACAGGACCTTGATGCCCTCGTGGAAGAAGCAGTCCATTATCCGCACCAGATGCTGGAAGGGTAGGCCCGCTAGAATCCACCAGCACCAGTCCATAAAGACTCGCTCCAGCTTCAAGCCCGGGCAAATACGTTGGAAATACGAGATGGCACTTTTCTGTAATAACAAAAAAAAAATTGAAATTAATATCAAGGTGATTGATTATGGTGGGGGGTAAGGTGTCTCACTCACCGTGTGCTTTTTGGCTATCTGCATCACCGTCTTCCAGGTGACCTCGTGCTGTAGTTTGGTTTGATTGATGAATACCTTCTCCTTGCTGCCCACCAGCCCGGCCAAGCAAATGTAGGCCTCCTCCTCTGCAATAGACAAAAAGGGGGGATATTAAAGTACTCAGTTTAAAGTTTAAAAGATAACCCCCAAATGGGTCTTAGTCACGCTATTTTAATAGTTCGCAAGCTCTCTATTTAGTAATGATTTATATCTATACTAATTAGTAAGCACAAGTGTTAAATAGTTGTCTATAAAATACAATTCTTGGTTTGTTTTGGCTCATCAATTTCATGTAACAAGCCAACACGTCGTATACGTAATATTAGATATTCAATACGCCCCGTTGGCCGGCGCACAAGATCGTATGGCAGACTTTCCTCACAATTATCTATTTAATAACAGGCCTAACCTTAGCCACAATTAATGCCACAACTTGTGGAGGCTTATGCCTAAATCTCAAGGTGCTGCAGCAGGGGGATGCTGTGGTTGCCGACTGGGTTCTGGAACTGCAATACCGCAGTGACGCAGCAAAAATTCAATTACTGGAAGACTCGGAGCATCCCTCGGAGCATTCTTCCACGAGTGCATCTTCCGTGCCCCTTCATAATTACTCGACACAATTTTTAGTTCTCCAACCGACCGTTGGCGATTATTTGATTTGGGAATTAGAACAAATTATGCAATGACAGAGTCGAGTATCGCGTATCGAGTATCAAGGGTCTAAAAATAAGCTCGAGCAGAACTGTAGCTCGATTTTGTTTGTTTTTCGAGCCGTTTCGTGAACGATTCATTAGCGTAATTGAGAATATGATTCAACAATCAGAATCAGAAGCCAGTGGCGAAAATTTGTCAAGCATTTAAAGTGTAATTGTGGCAGCTCTTCATGCGATTCATCAATCAATTAGCAGTCATTCGAATCGAGGGAGTCGGACAGGGATTTAAAATCAATTTAGATACTGAACTTTAGCCAGGGCCGAAGAGTAGGAGGAGCAGGCTCTCACTCCAATCGAATTGGCGCACATTACAAAGTTTAATTACTTTCAAATGCCTCGGCGGCGGGTAAACAAAAGCGCAAAATGGATTTTTTTTGCGACTTTATCAGTGGATTCTGGGCGGCTTATCAGTGGATTACACTGGCCCAAGGCGGTTTGTGCGGCTTAGTTCCTGCGGATTGCTCTCCCAACCGACTGGGGCCTCAGTCAGTGGAGTACATGACTTGAACTTTATCTGTGGCGGAAAGGAACAAGTCCGTGCAGTAAGTGGGCAAACATTTGATAAGTTTATTAAATATTTAAGAGAGAGCACTTGGCCCTTATGGCAAGAACTGATATTTATAGAGCATGACGTACATCTGTGAGGGGACTTAAGGGGGCTTAAGGCTGAATTGTCATTGCAATTCTGCAAACATTTGCATGCAGCTCAAATTTTAATGACCCACCATTATCATTTACTGTCATTATCATTATCAGTCAGCCAGCTAGGCGGCTGAGAGTAAAGCTGAAGTAAATAACTTGCAATTGAATTTAATCAAAGAACTGATGCCACAAAGCAGTCGCTAATTAGGCAATTAAAGATCTAGGCAAGGAGTACAATAGCTATAAACTATAAATCGCTCTTGATAAGCTCCATAGCCAGCGAGCTATATATAAATGGCCACAAAGGTTGATTTACTAACGAGCCTCAAATCAGGCAGAGCTCCAAGCCAATAGACGTCAGAGAGCACGTGTCGACTAATTTATGCGGTTCGACTAAAAATAGACCACCAGATTAGTCTAAACATCTTCTATTCTGATAGAAGACAGCAGACATCCGCTGCTCTGGCTTAATTAGCTCAACAAACAATAGAAGTATTTGCAAAACACTTAATAAATAAATACCTAAGGAGTCTATAAAAAATTGTAGAGTTCTTAGACATTCAGGGTTACTTCCTCAGGCCTTTCTTTTGTTTAATTTTTTATTTATGGACCGAGAGGACAACAAAGTAACCCTTTTCATACTCTGGGTAATGAATATGAATGGGCCAGAGAAAAGGGCAAAGAAATGCAAATGGGCGAGGTCCGGGTTATACGCCACCTGAATCAAGCCTGACGTCAGAGTCTGGGCCATTAAAAGCGAGTACTTTAGATAGAATATTCCATATATTTTAATCTGCATTGTGCGTGCCAGGAATAACAAACTATCCGGAGTCCGGACAAGCACTCCATATAGAAATCTAGCAAAGCAAATATGCACAAGGCGGCAATGTTTGGGTAGGGCACAAGGTGGGGGGGACTTATGATGGAGACCGGAGCTAAATAGAATAGAATTGCCAAACAGATCCATAAACGAAAGAGTACGAGTCTGCCTCGGTTGTTTTTATGTGAATTTTATGCTCACGTGTTGGCAGTATTAGCCCGGCCAGAAGGCAGAAAGCTGAAGCAAAGCAGAACGGGCCAAAAGCAGAATCGGCGAGCAAAGCAAACCTGAAAGGTCTAAATATATACACGGCTATACTAGATGTCTGTATAAACAAATGTGTAGAGAGATAATCGGGCCACAAAGACGGCAACTTTAAAATATGTGTCAGTAAACTAAGAATCCAAACGAATGCAAACGCGCAGAGAGCCTTGAAATCTTCCCCTTTCTGTCTGGCGTTCTGTCTTCGGCTCTGTTTACTTTAAGTGGCTAAAAGGCGAACGAAATTCGCAAATTGCAAATAACAACAATCGAATCGAACTGCAATGACGTCAACAACACAAAATGCAAACGATACCATATGTATGTGCTATCTATATCACTTTAAACATTTGTTTATGGGCGACTCTTGAACTTGAAAAATGCACAACGCTGGGTGTGAAAATATTCAATATATTGGAGTGCGTTGATTGAAGACTTCACTCATTTTCATTCGATTTCGAATTCTGATTTTGTATTTAATTTAAAGTGCCCTTCAGTTGGACAAAAAAATGAAACATATGTATCATATGAAATGAATCTTTCCTTGTAATAGTAATATTTTCAAAAAAAGATGCTAAACCCTGAGCCAGAAGGGCACTACATTTTTCGCTCAGTGTAAACAAACCTTCGAAATGACAGCCGCCTGTCTGACCTCCCCCTCAAAATTGGCTTATCAGCCGGGCAGCTCCCGCAAATAAGTCGCATAAGCTAGACGTACCTCCCAAGTATAAACATCCAGATAATTGGAAATCGTCATGAGATAATATTCTATGAACTCTAATAGATAGAGACTCTACAGAACGATCAATCCCCCCTGAGAACTACTAATTTATAGGCCAACATCTGTGACAGATTAGATTTTGTTAGATAAGCCCTAGATGAGCCCTCATTTGGCGTAAAGGTTATCATCAGAGGGTCAACCCCACATGACCAATTGTTGAGGTAATTCGAGGTTAAACGACTTGCGATTCCCAGATCCCCTCTTTCCGAATATTTTCCATCAAAATTGGGCTCATTTCGTATTCAGAAAATTTCCCCATTCATTGACGGAGCGGTATTTAGCGGATTTGTACTCCACACCTGACTGGATGAAACCAAATTCCAAGCAAACAATATATATACTGTTTGCTTAATATTTGTGGCTGTTATTGTGTCGCCGACAACAACAATCGGGTAATGATTAGCTGATAATAAAGTAGTTCGGGGAGAAAAGCAACAACAAATGCGGAACTAAAGCAGACAGTTAGACGTTGATCATTTGACTATGGTCAAGTACAGTGCTAGACAGTGGCCGACATAGCTGTAATAACTATAGGCTGGGTAATGATTCAGGAAGTAAAAATAAATATAGTTTGTGGAAATATAATCAGAGACCTTTACATAGAAGTTGCTATAAAAAGGGTTTCTATAAGAGGGTTTGAAACCTCATTTAGTTCGCTTTTAATCCGATTTATCGATATAAATCGAAGTTTACTTATAACTAGCTTTACCCATAGGTTTCTAACTGATTTTCATTCTTAGGAATGAGGAGAAATTTTGTTATTTTCTATAACTAAAAGAATATACAAGTTGACTATTGATATTTATCGAATTGTTACCAAAATTAGCCCTAACTACACATTACAGATTGTATCAATTACTTACAAGGCAGTAACAAGATTTACATTCTGAGGATCAAGAGAAAATTGTTTAGTTTCTTTAAGAAAAGAGGATTTGAAACCCCCTCCCTAATTCCCTATGAATCTAATCTATCGAAATTTATCGAAGTTTCATCAAAACTAGCTTTAACCCCACGTCCCTAGCTGTATCAATGACAAGGGAGTAACAAGATTTACATTTGAAATTATTTGGTGGCTCATTGCATGTTGGCCAAATCAATTAGCCACAAAATCACGATACATCAATTTGCAAACATCTGCGATACGCGCCGATATTCTCCGCATATATCACTCCCCATATATACATATATATAGAGAGAGAGATACTGAAGCAGAATAGCAAACCATGGGAAGGGAAGAGTCTCCCAAAGGGGGATCTTTACAATTGTGCCACTTATTTTGTGTGTTTTGTAGAGGCGATAAAAATTACTTGACCAAATATTGACATTCACGTGCGAGGCGAGGCGTTGAAGTGAAGCGGAGTTCGAGAGTACAGTGGTGGGCATACATATATTCGATAACTTACCCGACATGAAATGCAAAAGTATCGATGTAATGGGATACAATACTGGACTATAGGTAATATCGGGACAGTCGTAGCCCAGCACATTCACAATGCGATCGGCGACGGCCCGGCCCGTGCTGGTCAAGTGATACGGCAAACAGTGGGTGGCGTCCACAAAGGCGGGCAGCATGATCGGCTTCTCCGACAGCTCCGTGGTGCCAAAGACCTTGGAATGACATAAATATTGATTAAATTCCATTCTCTATAATGTGTATAATGTCAAGATTCACCCACCTGGTGTACCATCTCCCAGTAGAAGCCATCTAGCATTTGCTGCTTTGTCTGGTGTTGGCCACAGAGTAGGGGCCATAGCTGGGATCGGATCGGGGAGTTGATGGGCCACGAGTTCTCCCTGAGTATGTTCTTCACATCACGTTTCTTGCCCTGCTGCAGAAGCTGTTGGATTTCCGTGTGAGAGCGCAGTGCAGGCTCTTTGCCTGAAAAAAATATAAGAGAGAGATAAGAAAGGGTTTTAATTAAAAAAAATAGAAATAGCTATAATAGCCGGTACTTAAGTACCTTTTATTGTTAAAAGTAAGAGAAACTATTCAACAGCTATCACCTAATCTCGATTGGATTCCTACTCACTCTGATTAAGTTTAAGTACAAAACCATTCGTAGGGCTAAAAATACACTTTGCATGCGATTAGACTTTAAGCTTTGCATGCGATTAGACTTTAAGCTAATCCCACTTAGGTTAGGTCATTAACTGAGGCCCGAACATACAGTCTCTGTATGAAAACAAAGTCCCCTCTGGATTCTCAAGTGGCCGAAAGCTGCCGTTTTAACCAACTTGGGGAGTTGGGCACTTCACTTTGGCAATCATATGACACGATTGTTATTGTTATTGCTAACAATGGTGGGTTCTTGAGGTTATCACCGCTCTAGAGCCATTCAAATGGTGGTGCCCAGGAACCTTCTCCACTATCATCAAAGTCGCGAGGCGCTTTCAGCCAAACACCACCACCGATAAGTAGTTAAATTTCGTGTGTAAGGACGCCGCTCATTACTCATACGCCGAGTGGTCAAAATAAAATACTTGAAAAAGTGCATCTGATAAGTCCGGCCATCCGATAAGTATTGATAAAATAAACATTTATTTTTAATAATGATGGTAATTTGTTTGGTATTAAGCAAGTATTTGATTAAGGGTTAAGTTATTTCTAAGAAAAGGTAGCCCTTTAAGTTCTTGGTATCAAAAGTGACATACTTTTTTCAGGAAAAAACTTATCATCGTCAGGTACTAGTAACAAGAACTAGTTGTCTTTAAAAAGCGTCTTAAGTATAAACCCAAACCCTATAGCCTTTGGATAAAAATAATACATTTGTCAATAGCCTGCCTTTGTACTTTTTCCACTAGAATGTGTCAATTATAGAATGACAAGCGTAGATCGACTATCGCTATGGTCAGCTGGTCAACTGCGTCAAATGTAGGACAACCCCAAGACCCCATCCCCTGTGGAATCACCCCCTCCTATCTGATGCCACCTCAATGCCGCATTGAACCTCATCGGGGCGCTGCCATATTGATTAGCTATCGGCATGGGGGTAATTGATTGCGCTGCGGACATGTCTCATTACAGGCATCGCGACAGCTGATCGATTTTTGCATGCCCGCTCTCTCTCAGCCCCCCACTCCATAGCCCACTTTTCTGTTATCATTGATAGCTGATAAGGTGGAAATCCAGGTAACCAGCGGACATCAGGCAGCGCCATATCAATATCAGCCAACAAATTAGTTACTAAGTTGCAGAGCCTCTGATTTATTTACTCACTCGCCTTATTACGATTTAAAAACTGTTTAGAATGTCACACAAAAAAAAAGCGTTTAGCATTAGTCCAATAAAAGTTTGGCGGATTCTCTCACATTACTTGGGGGAGGCGATAAGATACAGGGCAGTGGATGTGTTCATTGCAATAAATGCAATAACAATTAAAAAACGGGTATAATTTAGTGCCGCCTCTGGGGGTAATTAATCCCCATCTCCATCTACAGCATCTCAGATCCATTTGCATTTTTTTTTTTCAAACAACAAATATGGAAATGGAAATGCTGGGGATGTATGTATATCGTCACCCCATCCATAATACTACAGCAACGCAGCAGTAATTTTCCGATCAACGCAATCAATATTATTGGTTTGTGAACCATAATTGATATTATGTCAGGCGTTGGCTTATAACTCACTTTTACACAAATAAAATAATAGACATCAATGAGCACAAAGCACTTGCCTTAATGAGCTAATTAGTTGCATATTTTAAATACGCTTAAGGCTCATTAAAATTGTGCAATCTGATTAAGAGCCAAAAATGTAACCTAAACCGCAAATGTATATCCAACATTTATGGAATATAACATTTTTGATTGATTTTATTTTTGTTTTTCTTTCTTTTTGAGAACTTTACGACCGCCTTAATTTTTATTAATGCTAAACATATTAAAACATTTTTTGTTTTTTGTTTTGTAAACAAGGGAAAAAGCCATATGTTCTGGCCAAGGGCTTTAAACAACGGAGAATATTATACTTATGTACAAGGTTGTCAGTGAAAAGATTTTATAAACAGAAATATACAAATTTGGGTCAACATTATCGTTTCAGAATTAATTGAAACATTTTCCACAGACACTTCAACTTTGAATTCTTCAACTGTAGATTTATTTTTAAAATATTTAACAATATTAAAAATATTATTACAAAACTTCTATATTTGTTGATGAAATTCCCATTATCACTTGGTTTTTATCGTGGCTTTTTTTAGAGGGGGGTTTTCGACGTTTGGACTTTGAGGCTTTATGGCCGGTGCTGGGTGCTGGGCTGGTGATTTTTATTACCTGGACTGAACTGCCAGCACTGGCATTTGGTGGTTATATCGTTCGAGCTGGCCGCTATGAAGAGGGGCAGCTCGAAGAATTTGTCACACTCGGGATCGACGTAGACACTGCTCCGCCGGCTGCTAAACTGCTCCAAGTCTTTGATGCCCAAGACTTTGCCAACCATTTTTGTTCGGTTTACAGGGTTTCCGTTTCGGTTTTTAATGATTTTTTTTTTTTTTTGTTGGTTGGTTTGTGTAGTGTATTTAATTATTTGTTATTTGTTCTTTTGTTGTTTGTTCACTCGCTTTTTTGGCACCGAGTACTTTTCGCGCTGTTTGTCAACCGCCACACGAACGACAACAGCAACAACGACATCATTTATGTAGATTTCTCAGTCTCGTTGAATTTTTTGTTGTTTTCTTAATTTTTTTTTTATTTTCGTATTTCGTATTTTTTTATTCACTGTTCACTGCTGCCTTTTATTGTTTTAATTTATTGCGATCTGCAATTTGCTGTCGCCCGAGCAGCAGCGACGTCGGCAGCACTTGAATTTAATTTGCAGCACATTTAAATTTTCAATTCACATTTTTTTCTTCTTCTTGTTGTTGTTGTTGCTGGTTCAATATCGAAATTAATTTTAATATTTCTTATTATTGTTGTTGTTTTTTAACGAGAGTTGAAAGAAATCATTAACCAAAAGCATCTCGCCACAGCTCCTTATATAGTACATTTATTTGAGATACATTCGCAAGCGTAGCGATCGCTGAGCGGATTACGGCGGAATTTTCGGCCAGGCCTACCTACGTGCGGAGCGTTCGAATGCGTTCAGTGTTCTCAGATATTTTCCGGCGGACAGGCCGGTTTCATTTCGATAGCCTGCCTTCTGCCTTCTGAATGAAAGCTCCACCGAGGGGCAAGAGAGAGCAGAGCGTCCGTAAAATCGTGAGCAAAAGATCGCAAGCTTTTAAAGCTCACTTCCGCAGGGTCTATAATACTGATTCTCTATTCTATATATTTTTTTTTGATTTGTGATTTATTTTCCTTTCCACACATATTTTTGTTTTCACATTTCGCTATCAGCGCCGTAGAATAAACAGCTGTTTTCTGTTGTCCTCCCGCTCTCCCATTCCGGCCAGTCTCTCTTTGAGGCTCTATCTCTATTTTATTTAAATTTCCCCCTCGGGGCAAAGAGAGAAAAGCCCCAACCCCCCACCTCCACACCCCAACGGGTTACCCAAATCTAGTGTAAATGTTTTCACAGAAATAGCTTTTGTGGGAAATTTCGTAAGCAATGGCGAAAATATGCTTGGAAAATCCCAGGCAAGAATTTCTTCTTGCCACAAAGGCACAAATTCTCGGCCATTCCTGCGTATACGTAATATCTACGTATACGTAATATTTATGTGCGAAGCCTAATTTATGAGCCTTTTCCAGCAACCTGTATTAGTGCGGTGGTCTTGGCGGATGAAATCTTGGCAATATGGCATGGAAAGATTTCTGACCAAAGTCAACAGCAAACAGAATGAATTCATGAAAGAAACTTTGTGGTAGGAATTTCTTTTATTTTGAATAGATGGCGAAAATAAACACAAGAATGGAGAACCTAAAAAAAATGGCTATTAACTTAATGCTTATATTACAAAATACAATTTATGGGGTTACACTTAAGAGAATGTTTCAAAAAAGTATTATTTCTTTAAAACAAACAAAAATTGGACTAAATTATACAGGATTTTGTAAGTTTTTATCCTACTCTTTATCCATTTTTATCGATTATAATTGATGAATATAAAATATGTTATCATCTGATATTTTACAGTCGAAATAATTTTTTGTAAAATTAACTTTTCTTAAAAACAAACTTATTTTTTAGAAAACTAACAAGAAACACCTAATTCTATCCCATTATTTGTGTAGAATTATCGATTATTATTGATTGCCATTCTTTAATATACAAATATTCAATGTCCTGATGTCCAACCTTTCAATTCTAGTTACGATTAAAGCTATAATGCTAAAACATTACAAATTTAATAAAAAAACTGTTAGTTATCTATCATTATTTATGCAATATTATAGATTATTTCTATTAATATCATCTATCTAACCCACTAATTCCTACTAGAAGTGAGACTAAAATGTGAAAAAGTTACAAATATTAACAAGAACCTGTTAGTTCTCTCCCACTTTTGATCAATTATTATCAAATACCATCGATTAAATCGATTAATATGCAAACATCAGCTATCTAACCCACTAATTTCAACTACAAGTGTGAAAAAATCACGAGATGTGCTTCTCAAACGCATTTCAACACAATTTTCACACAATGGGCTAATTTGTTGTTTCTTTCTTTGATCCGTTGATCTTTTTTTAGCGACATCACATATTGATTTTTCACATGTTTCGTCAGGCAAAATAAAATAAAATAAAAATAATATAAAGTAGAAACAACGAAAGGCAGCAGCCACTCGCTGCCATTTGTTTATACCAGAAATGTATAAATAAAACGGGGTAAAATAAACAACGCGTGGCCATTGGCCAGTGTTGGGGAAAAACTCGGTGTTTTCATGACACTCACACATGCCACCGCCGAGCAAATGATTAATTAACCAAAATGTTCAAACATAAAATACTGAAATAAAGAAAATCAGAGGAAAACCCAAAAACAAAATAGCCCCGATGGCAATTATCTTTCACTTGGCTGTATCGGATTTTATGCGACGAATTTTTGTTTTTGGGCAGGTATATTTATGGGGAGGCGATTGCCAAGAATTTCGGCGACACTTAAGTGTTGCCCCATAACGCTTTAAAGAACAGATATAAAGATATAGATACAATCGCATGAGCAATCTTTCGGTCACACCTTCTCCGAGTTCGCATACTATATAGGAAACTTGGCCCATTAATCATCTCTAGCTTTACGTCTTTTGATTCTGAAATCAAATCTATAAACATTCTACCAAAAATACGCTATCTGGGTTCTATTGCTTTTTAATTTGTATCACTGGAGAGGCTATAAAGTAATTACCGATAAAGATTGGTTATCTTTACGATTAATGCGATTTCGATTCTAAGGTAGTACAGGACTTGCCAATTAATTAATTGACGTATGTAGTTTATTAAGAAATTCGTGATCTTGTCGGCGGCCATAATAGAAGCAGCACGAAATTTCCAAAATATTAGATTCTCATGAGTTATTAATTCTTAAAAATGCGAAAGACTATTCTAAGACGAAATATCGTTCAGATAAATACAAAAATAAATACAAATAATTGTGACATGATCTAATGGTCAATTTTTAGCTAGCGGAAACAATACAATTAAGCAGAATCAAGAAGTGCGATCGCAACCTACAGATACCGAGTATCTGTTGAAGGGGCCAGAGCGATAGGTTAGCGGCAACAAAAACACATTCTGGGCATGCAAATTGCAATTGCAAATGCAATTTATTACATTTAGTCTATCCCTCTGACGACATTGTCCGTTTCGTTTGCCAACCAACCCAATGGGGGGAAAAAAACAGAGAAACAGAATACATAGAACACGGTAACAATCGCCGGCTGGGAGCTAAATTTAATTTGACAACGTTCGAACGTTTTTCATTTTGGCAAACTGCAGATTAATGTTGTTATTGCCCCCTCTCTGCCCTCTGACCCTCTTTAAGTTGTCAGCGTTTTTCGGCTTAATTGCATCGAACAGAAAGGCGTCATTGGGCAGAGAACAGGCTACCCAAAAATAGACATCGGCTAGGAAGTGTCCTTTTAATTCAATCAAGCAATGGCCCTATGAGTCAGTGGAAAATATGAATATGTTTCCTGAAATTGAGAGACTTTAAGGTTCTCTCTAATTAATTCTTTAAATAATTACTCATATTTTTATTTGTAAAATATTTTGCAAATTATTCAAATCAATTAGGCTCGTGTTGGGGAGAAGAATAAAGTCAACGAGCCTGCATTGGCTCTGCCAGATTGTTCAGATTGTTTAGCACGCGCTATAAATATCTCTCTGATATCGATCGGTCGATCGTGAGCTAGCTATTTGTCAATTAGCATCGTGTTCTCCACTCTCTGTCATATATATTTTTTTTTGTTGCTTTTGTGGACCGAATTTCGAGGGACGAGCCACATGACGGACAACCTTTGGGATCGATCTCCGTGCCGGTCGTTCCAGGGGAGAGATTCACAAATGGGTATTAATTACCATTCGCCAGGGATCGTATTATGCCAGGGGCCCAACTGGCCGGTAGTGGGTGGCTCAGATTCGCTGCGAACCACGAGCCCCGGACATGCCAGCTCCATAATGGAAATTAATTAAGTTATTGACGTGCTAACTGCATTGACGGACGCCGCTGCCACCTTTTTGCCACCAAAAAAGTATTTCGGCCCTTATTCTGAGATGACTCTTTAGCCGTTTCAGAAACTGGTTTGCTGGTCTGGTCTGAATACTAACATCGTACTTTAATAAAATTATTTCTGAATTATATATTCAATTGAACGGAGTTCACTGTTGTATTATTAAGTGCAACACGTTTCGTTTATAATGGGCATAATTTTGCATTTAATTAAAATGGCTAGGAAAAAACCACTCGATTCATTCACTTTAGTTTTTGCTCCAGAAAACAACACATGGCTAAAAAAAAAAACCATTGTTTTTATGAATTAATCCCATTTAGTTGGAAGCACACAGGGCGTATGCGTAATGCCGAGTATGTAGTCTACCGACTGACTGACTGATCGAGTGACTGACCGTTGAACGCTACGCACGATTTTATATATATATATTGAGGATCAATGTTTATGTATTATAATTTTTCTCGACTGAAAATGCAAGTATTTTTGTTGTTGTTTACTTTTGCTGTTTGGCAGCTAGGCGTGATAATTAACGAGCCGTGATTTAAAAGTCGATTTGCTTTTAATGTGAATTCCAATTGCAGTTTTTGGAGGCTGCAACACACTGGTACTATACCCCTCTACACATAGACATCTTTATGTATAGAGAGGTATGTATATGGAGTGTGTATGTTGACTCACGCACTTTGTAAACATATCAAGTAATTACGTTGACACGCGACTTGTTTCGAAAAGTATTCCAATTGATCGGTGGCTCGTTTGTTTTCTCGATTTTCTTTTCGTTTTCGGCGATTTTGAGTGTGTTTTCTTTGGCGTTTCTCTCGGTTTTTCTCGTGATCTAACAATTGACAACTTTTGGGCATACAAGTGAAGTGTAATATCGATCTATAGAGCAACCACCAGGCCCGAGGGTTGAAGCGAGACTGAGATAAAGGCTGAGGAGACGCCTCGAGTGATTGCCGCAGAGACGACTTCAGAGACTCTCCCCGGTGAAAATGAGAAACAGAGAGAGAGTGAGATATTGGCGATCAAGCGACAGGTGAACGATGCAACTGGGACACACATTTTCAATAAAAGCTTCCATTTAACCCATCACATCAAGAAGCCAAAAGCTTTCTAATTAAAAGCTCCCCTCGGAAATATCAAATAAAGGTTTGTTTTTAGTTTTTTTTTTTGTCAATAGAGCTCTCAGCTCTCGGAAGTTCGTTCAACTTCAGGTAAATATTAAAGAGGGGCGCGTCCCAAACAAAGGGCCGGCCCTTGAAAGGTTCTACAAGGTAGCAATTAGTCAAGCCCAGCATCAGCAATTCAATGAGCCATAAAATGCATATTAAAATCAAAGTTCTGATTATGCACATGCGATTTGTAGTGAAATCATTCAAGAGATCCATAAAGTTGTCATTGGAAAAGGCAACTTTGTAATTCAGCTATGAGCGTCATGTGATGGCGGATTTGTGGTTATTCGAGTGAACCGATCAAAGTGTGAATCAAAACTGTCGCATTTGAAGACAAGTGAGATGGAAAGCAAAGACAATGGACCATGAC